AACCAACAACTTTATCCCTCAGGATCCTGGGACCCACTACTCGGGCCCAGAACCTACAACTTCATTTTTCATAAGGCATAAAGCTCTGATTATGCATTTGGTTTTACGGCAAAACCACTGGATAGCTCTCACTTAGCAGTGAATGCCCCACATAAATATCCAGCCCGCTTAAAAATTTCATCCCTACATTCACAAATTTGGAACGTAATTCATGAAAAAAAAAATTTACTGTTTATTTTCGAGAGAGCGAGCGAGCACACGAGCAGGGGAGAGGCAGAGAGAAAGAGGGAGACACAGAATCTGAAGCAGACTCCAGGCTCTGAGCCATCAGCACAGAGCCCAACGCGGGGCTCGAACTCACAGACTGTGAGATCATGACCTGAGCCAAAGTCAGAGGCTTAACCGACTGAGCCACCCAGGTGCCCCTGGAATGTAATTCATTTTAAAAACGAGTCTCACTTTGGTTTTATATGAAATGCTCACAACTTCTTTTTTGAAAGCAAACGGAGAGCGGACTGCACAAAAAAAACAGGAATTCACGTTGGTTTCAGAATTCAATCACACAGCAGCACCCTTTTGGTGTTCCATGAAGTCTGAGAAAAAAACGTGGGGGCCCTGGTTGTCACCTGAGGTAGCTTCTGTGCTGCCCGACGCTGCCTGTGGGTTCAGGTGCTCTCGGACCATCTTCTGCAGGGAGCGCATGAAGACCGAGATGAGCCGGTCGATGTAGCTCGGGTTGTTGCTGCAGGCGGACTTGAGGATCATAAGGGTCCCTAAGAGGTAGAAATCGGTGTGTTCGGTTTTAAGAAAAGTTTTTTTAAAACTCAGTAATCAACAAAAATGGGGTATTTAAAACATTTTAAAGTGTACTGAATAAAAATGTGTTGTTACTGACCAAGTATGGATAAACCCCAAGTGTCAACATTAGAAGCTTTTGTCCACACACACTACACTCTGGAGCACCGCATTTTCACTCCCAATTCTGAATTCACGATCCACACCAAGCACGGGAGCCGATTTTTATGCTTTGGTAGATACAACGTACGTACCTTCAGTTCTGGATTTTATCCTTGGTATAGCAAACCACCCTAAGTGACATTTATTGTCCCATGATAAGTTTGGGCAAAAAAAAAAAGAGGGGTGCCTGGGTGGCACCCCCGGGTTAAGCATCTCACTTTGGCTCGGGTCATGATCTTGCGGTTTGTGAGTTTGAGCCCCGTGTTGGGCT